AACATCAATATATCCAAGTGGTTGTTCAACATAGATCTCTTCTTCTAAAAAGTCATTCAAAAATGTTGATTTCACATCGAGTTGATAGATCTTCCATCTATGTTGTGCTGCTAGTGAGATCATCAGTCTGATTATCTTTAGCCGGGCTATTAGAGCAAACACTTCTCCATAGTCAATGTCTTCTCTCTGTTTGTAGCCTTTCGCCATTAATCTTGCTTTGTATCTTTGCACTTCTCCTTTTGCATTCTTCTTTGTCTTGTAGACCCATTTGACACCTATTGCTTTCTTGTTTTCTGGTAGATAAGTCAGCTTCCACGTATCATTCTTCTCAATGGCATGTATTTCTTCATTCATTGCTTTTATCCACTTTTCTTCTGTGATAGCTTCATTGAAGCTAAGTAGGTCACTATTTGCAAAAAAACAAAATAGAGTTGTATCTTCCATGACTTGAGTGGCATCATACAGCTCTTCTAGATTTCTCATTCTTCTTGGTCCTTCTGATGAGGATGTTGATGATGGTTCTGATGATGATGGTGTTGATGATGATTTTGATGTGTTTCTCCTGTTGAATATAGGAAATCTGTGTACCGGACTTTGTGGCTCATCTTCTGGTACTATCGGACCTTCTACAAGTACTATTGGTACTTCTTCATCTTCAAGGATCAAATCAGTGTTGATCCATTTAACTGCTTCTTGGTCATCATTCCATTGCCAAGTTTTATCTTCTTCAAAGATAACATCTCTACTTATAATTACCTTCTTGGTGATGGGATTATACAGCTTGTATCCCATCCTTCTTTCACCGTATCCGACAAAGATGCATTTCTCACTTTTATCATCGAGTTTGGTCCTTCTTACATCTGGGATCTTTGTATATGCCACACAAACAAAAACTCGAAGATGAGTAACACTTGGTTTGTGACCACTCCATGCTTCTTGTGGAGTAACAGCTTGCAAACTTCTGGTTGGGCAGCGATTTAGTAAATACACTGCACATGATACAGCTTCAGCCCAATATTGCTTGGGCAGTTTCTTTGCTTTGAGTAAACTTCTTGCCATATCAAGAATTGTTCGATTCTTCCTCTCAGCTACACCATTCAGTTATGATGTATAAGCTGGTGTTGTCTGATGTCTTGTTGTGTACAAAAGGCTTAAAAGTCATTTGCTGTATATTCTCCACCTTAATCAGATCTCACGGTTCTGATCTTATAACCACTTTGCTTCTCAACAATTTCTTTAAAATCTTTAAAACAATTGAACACTTCTGACTTCCTCTTCAAAAAATATACCCATGTCTTTCTACTAAAATTATCAATGAAAGTGAGGAAGTACCTATTTTGTCCATTAGACATAGGCTTTATAGGACCACACACATCTGTGTGCACTAACTTTAGTGGCTTCTTTACTTTCCAGTTAACTTCTTTGGCAAAACTGGATCTGTGATGTTTGCTGATCAATGTAGGGCATACCTTTGACCATCTTCTTACTTGCTAGCATCTTCAAACTTGTGAAATTCAAATGTCCAAGCCTCAGGTGCCAAAGTCATTCTTCATTGTTGGTGATGGCACTCAAACACTTTGCTGCATCATATTGCATGTTTAAAGGAAACATCCTATTCTTAGACATTTTCATATAGGTAATTAATCTCCCATTTTAGTTTGTTATTGTCAGATGACAATTCTTCATGTAAAGTGTATAGCCTCTCTCCAAAAGTTGACCTATGCTCACCAAGTTCTACTTTATGGCTGGGACATAGTAGACATCGGCGATGTAGCTATGATCGCCATTCTTCAACTTGATTAGGATGTTGCCTTTACCTTTGAATGGAACTTTTGACGTATCTCTAAAGGTGAAAAAACCTTGTATGGTCTCATCTAGATCACTAAATAAATCTCGTTGGCCACACATGTGATTGCTGGCTCCAGAATCAAGATACCAAATATTCTCTTGATTCTTGTCAAGTCCTTGTTGGACAAATAATGCAGCTGCTTCTCTATTGTTGACATCCTCTTCTGCATAGTTGACTTGCTCACGTATCTCCAGTGGAGCTTTCTTTTGACATTTAGTGTTATAGTGCCTAAATTGATTGCAATTATAACACTGAATATTCTTCTTGTCACGGTTATTGTAACCGCCTCCTCTTCCTTTAGGAGTGAATGCTTGTTGTCCTCGACCTCCTCTGGTGTTTCTTCCACCTCTTTCTCTAAAACCTGTATTCCAAGAACTTCTGCCTTGAAATCGCTGAAATCCTCCTCGTGTTTGTTCACTTCTTCCTCAAGTGGTGTATCCATTTGTTGAAGCCTCCCCTTGCTCATATCTGTCTTTAAGAGACAACTTTGCTTGTAAGGCATGCTCAATTGCCTTATCTCCATTTCTTTTTACTATCTTCTGCTCATAAGCTTGCAAAGAACTCATAAGTTCATCCACTGTTAACTTGTCCACTTCTTTGGACTCTTCAATAGCGACAACAACAAAATCAAATTTTGGATCCAGGAATCTCAAAATTTTCTCAATTATTCAAACATCTGAAAGGGTTTCTCAATTTCTTCTCATCTGATTGACTATCACCATAATTCTTGTGTGATAATCAGAAATGGATTATGAGGACTTCATTTGTAACAATTCAAATTTACCTCACAAAGATTGGAGACGAATTTTCTTTATTCTGTCAGCATCTTTGTATTTTTATTGGAGAGCCTCTCATATTTCTTTTGATGTTTCTGCGGAAGCAATGATTTCAAATGTCGCTTCATCAAGACCTTGATAAATGATGGTCTTTGCTTTGTTGTCTTTCTTTCTATTGGCTTTGAGGACTTGCTTCTGTACCTCTGGTAAAGCATCTTCTGATTCTTTGGACTCTGGTTCATCATAACCATATTGCACAATGTCTATACACTCTTGTGAACCAAGGAATGCCTTCAATTTGATGCACCAACTATTATAGTTGTCTTTGGTTAGCTTTGGGATGAGTGTTTGTGCATTTTTTGTAGTTATTTTACTCTTTAAATGACTATATAACCTTTTGGGAGTTGAATTTGGCAAAACTAACACCATAGATGGATCCGGAAGAGTCCAAATAGTAGGGAATCGGTCTGACTTTGTAGAAAATGGGTCAAAAATAGGGTGAACCGGTCCAAAAACCAATTTGGGTGGTTTGCTGGGTTGAATCGAGAATATTCCAAGGAATATTCTTTTTGGCTTGGCTTTAGAATATGGCTCGGAGCTTGGCTTGGCTTCGGAATATGGTTTGGAGCTCGGCTCGGCTTCGGAATATATCTCGTGGCTTGGCTCGCGACTCGACTTAAGGCTTGGCTTGGCGGCTCGGCTTAGGTGGCTCGGCGCGGCTTAAATATGGCGCACGTGTGGCTCAGTCGTCTTCTTCCTCAAGGCGCGTAGGCTATAGTACTGAAACTTCAGACGGAGAGTGTGGGCCACCCCGTGCTCCGATTAATCTGATTTTTGCGTCGTTGAGTTCGTATTGATGAGCTCTACACTTTAGAATGATCAAAACTTGTTTTTGACAACTTTGAAAATTCAGATATATCCCAAAATACCTCTGTTTTCTGACAAACGGGGCTCTAATACCGATTATTGGTGGGAGAAACCACTTGTGGTGGCTTTGAAACACTCGGAGGAGATAAAACACACTCTTTATTTCAAGAACAAAAGCTTACAATACACACCCTTTCTTTCTCTCTTTCTCTATAGTGTTTCTCTCAAATCTCTCCACACATAATTGCATAAGTTTAACTATCTATTTATACACGAATTCAAAACAAGAAAATTTAAATTTCAAGTATGAAGGCGATTGTGGCCGACGGTATGAAAATAACTAATAACTGGTAGTTGGTGGCCGGTGGCTGAATGGTTGGACAATAACAACTGATAGTTACCTTTCTTGATCTTCTAGATTGAATCTACTTCAACTAGAATGATATGGTTTTATGAATTCAAGGGATGCGTCTTTTGCCTTTTCCCAACGATTGACAAAGATGTCGATTAGGCACAGCAAGGCAATAGATTAATGAGAAGTTAGCGTCTTGAGAATTGCGGCAATGTCAATCATAAAGTTGCAGAAGCTTGAACATTTGACACTTGCCCTAAATTATGTCCTAAGAAGTCTAATAATAACTCAGGTGTGCAGAGCACAAGGTTGAGCCACCAACAGCGTTTGCACGCGAGGTTCTAGCCCAGCGGTGGGCGGGGCTTGTCCTTCTTCCTCCGCACCTGGGTTCGAGCCTTACCATGCATGCCTGTCACCCCCGCGGTGCCTTACCTGCTCACTGGGCTTGCAAGATGTTCAGTGGGTTGTGGGGATTAGTCGTGGTGCGCGTAAGCTGGCCTGAACACCCCACGTAAATCAAAAAAAAAATGTAAGGATAAAAAAAGGCAAATTTCTAATTACCTAAAACACCATTCATGGGGTCCTGATTTCGAGGAAAACAGTGGCAAGAAACTACAAGTTTTGTTTTTTAAATTGTTTTTTATTAAAAAATATATTAAAATAATATATTTTATTTTTAAAAAATTATTTTTTATATCAATACACCAAAATAATTTAAACACACTAAAAATATATTAATTTAAAAATACTTATAGAAGACAACAACTAACAGCACCTAATATTTCAATTTAAGGTCTTCGGAATTTGCAAAGAGGAAGATTTTCATAACTTGAAGATAGAAGATTGATACGTCATTTGGTTGATTTTTGAAAAATTTTGTTGATCCAAAATGTAAAGTGTAGCGGTTATAACAATTCGAAACAACCAAATTACATGATGTTAAACGTAATTTTCCCATTCAGTAAAATAATTCAGAAGACAAAACAGTTGGTTTAGCATGGGAAGCACACTTGGGTAGTAGCAAAATTCAGAAGATGCCCTTCTCGTTTCTTCATCACTTCTTCTCCAGAGCAATAGATGCATAGGCCAAATCTTCAGCTGCTGCTGGCTTGTGCAGCTGCAATTATAAACCAAAATTCTCACGGAAGATGCATAATAAATGTTACTTGATCAATATTCTGTCCATAAAAAGGTCAAGAGTTCACCAAAATTTAAATACTGGTGAAATCCTAATCAATGATTTTCTGTGTTTCCTAGGCAAGTACTGCTGCAAGGAAATTAGAAATGGCTCCAACAAAGATAAGAGAATCTAGTTTTGAATATTTCAAGGCAACACTTCTCCACAAAAAAGAATGCAGTAACTGGCCAGTGTTCATTTCCTTCTAGACTAACAGCAAGAAAAATGAAGACTTTGAGAGTAATAGCTCTTTACAAGCCCGAGCAGCTGCAATCATAATCAATTTCTCAGGACAACTAAAGGTCAAAGGTCTAATATTTTTTTTACTCAAACAAAAAGGATAATCAGTTCAGTAACCTAAGATGTTGGTCAAATCCTAAGCAATGGATTCTGTGTTCCAATAAAAATCTGATTTAAGTTTTTCAAGAAAACACTTTTGGATAATCAACACCTTGCCAGTGTCTATTTCCCAAATGGACTGAGTAAGAAAGATGTAAGACTTTGGGATTAATAGCTCATTTCTGTTTAGTCAATCAATAGCCATACACATAAGCTGTTCACTCACACATCTCTTCAGAGTTTACTTTTCCATTCTCGAGATTTTGAGCCCAAAAAACAAAACAATTATTTGGGTTCAAGTGACAATTTAGTTCGTACATGTGCCCTCTGATCAAAATGCTCAAAGAAAAGGAGAAAGTTGTCAGTGTATCAACTTTCTACATGACAAAGGGCATTGAAAGGAAACTTACTGCCTCTGCCACAGATAACCAGTGGAGGGAACGCACAAAAGCATCAACTTTTGAAGGCAGGCTGTCGTGATTCCAATATGTTATGTTCTCAAATTTTGCAGTTATCTCCCAAGTGTTTGAGTTTTTTTCAGACATGTCAGAAGCTTTTCTCTTGCCCGGACTCTTCTTTCCTATGACAAAGCCTGCAGACAACAATATGAAAAAAAGTACCAGCTTGAACTTGTTCTGCAATATTTCATAAACTCATTCGCATCAGGAAACCAAACCATTCTTACGAAATTGAAGGTATAAAAGAACAACCAAGCCTCAATCCTAAACTAGTTTGGTTTCTTCACATCTGTGAAATCAAAAGTATGCAAACAAAATCTCAAAAACCATCTTGTTTCAGGTCTATCGATAATGAGACGAACATGCCAGAACCATCCTCTTGACTGATTTAAAAACTATTGTGAGGAGATACAATTTAGCCTCCAAAGTAGTTGTTTCTAACATAAAATTCAAAATTTGGGTGTGCATGTGTGTTTGCGTGTTAACATGTGAAGAGATTATGGTGTTCTTTTCTATGTTTCAGTCTTTGAATGAGGTCGTAGTTCTTATCAGAGTTTTTTAACCACTCTCCACTCCAATCTATAATTAGTACTACCAGGTAAAAGCAATGGTATCTGTATAAATAACTTTCACATTCCAGCTCCAATTGCTACAATAACCCACAAAACACGCTATCCCAATTAAACATGCAAAAGCAAATAAAATATTAATTTGAACCAACATCACAACATTGCCAAATTCTCAATTAATCATATGATCCACAAATGCGAGAAGAAATACTACCCCTTTGAGGAGGGCTTTGTCACAGAACCACCGAATTCAAAATTTTAACCTATCAGTTTAACTGCTGCAGCCAAAAGGAGGGCCAAAAACCCTCCAAGTCCAAAGAAACCATTTTACACCATTTCACACAATCAAAAAAAACATTGGAAACACCCACACAAAAGCAATGACTAAGAAAAAAAACAAGAATCAAACCGACTCAAATTATTTCCCACATTATGTAAGCAAGAAATCATTTTTTCCCCATATTGGATTATAAAAATTATTAAAAAAAAAATCCGGCGTTACAATATAACATGCTTACCAGAATACCCCTTTGGAATATCAATTGTGGCACCCTGTAACTTCCTGCCTCTAAAATGAGCTTCCTCAACTTTCATCTCTTCCACTTCTACACCTACAGAAGCACCAAAACACATAGAATTATAAGAAAGAGTACATAAACAGAGGGAGGCCAAATGGGCAAACAGGGAAAAAAAGCTGAACTTACTTACCGGTGAGTTTGGGTTTGAAGTAGTGAGAAACAGCAGAAGGGCCATCATATTTGATGCAGCAAGGTAGTAAGTGGACTTTGCCTGTTAAATTCGGGACTTCTGTCTCTGATTTCTTTTGATTTATAGTTCCTGTTATTCCTGCTTTTGAATTGCCATCCAAACCCATTTTTGCTGATTGTTTTCTTGATTTGGATTTCTGGTTTGCCCTTGAATTCTTCCACTCTCTGTGTTTCTGTATTCCCGCGCTTTTTCTCCTCCGAAAATGGAAGACAGAGCCCTAAACAGAAGGCTAATAGATAAAGACAGACAAGGCTGGCTTGGCTTAGAACTTTAGATTCTAGAGGGATGTACGTGCGACTTGTCATCTGCCCAAGAGGACACCAAGTCAATGGATTTCTTTCTGATGGGGATCATAAGCTATTATTAATTTATTAAACTATAAGTATGTGCATTATAAGTTCTTTCTTGTGTTCCAAATGTTGTTGGGATAAAAATTAAAAAAAAAAACGTTTAAAATTAATTTTTTATATTTATAAATTATTTTAATTTATTGATATCAAAAATTATTTTTAATAACTAAAAAATTATTTTAATATATTTTTAAATAAAAAAATTTTAAAAAATAATTACTATCGCACTTTTAAATACTCCTAAAAATAATTTTAAAACCTGTTAAAAATATATTTTTAAAACCTGAAATACAATGAAATCAGGACTAAAAGAGCCAATACATCCATCATGGATGTATTGAGAGGGTAAATATAAATTAATTCTAAAATAATTAAAAAAAAAAGCATCAAAACAATCTTGTTTTGATATAAAAAAAAAATTCTATAAGAGATCATCACAATTCGCAACCCTTAAAAAACCTTGATATGCACACCGGATGTTGAAGTGATAATCATGAACATGCTACTCCATTTCTAAAAAGAGTCTTTGCTGATTTGAATTAGTAAATGAACTCAATGAAATTAAATAATTTTGCTTTCATTAACGAATGACACTTCTATAATTGTCTAGAAGAAAAACAATGGCGATGGCAGATACTAATGAGTTCAATTACGTGAATTGATGCTTCATGTCGGAATCTAGAGGAGTAAATAGAGGGAAAAGAAACGAAACATTTCAGAAGCTCAAAATCTTCACTGGTTAAATACTTCAATTCCATAGCAGCAGCAGCTTTAAGGACCGAGTAAAAATCTGCCTTCCAAATTGCATAAATTAACCAACTTGACAAGAGACATCTGCTTCCATTGCATTAGCAACTACAAAGTCTACAATGTTGGTCAGCATGAAACGTTGATCTTTATATAACAGCTCTGCAATTGCATTTATCGGCTAATATTACTAGATACTACAACAACATACTTTCCTACAACATTTGTGAGCATTACTTCTGATGACAAGGCACGGTCCTAAGCTTCACAATTTGAATCTTTACATTCAAAATCTTGAGCAGAGATCACTATCACAGGAAAAAACTTCAGCCCTCAGAACCAGTGAAATAAACTGGACTATCTAGTTCACCCATGCTTGCAGAAGCAAAAGATTCAAATGATTCTATTGATGAAAGGGAAGAAGCAGTGTCATCGGAATCTGAGACCATTTCATTGTGCAGGATAACATGGTCCTCATCAATCTCAGATGCGTCTGACCCAGATGTTCCTAACAGAAGTTTATTGATGGCTGTCTTTGCAGTTTCAACGAACCATTCATCCTCAGGAAGTGCACTGTGCAGAAAAAAGTTGGAAAAATCAGTTGCCAGTAAGAATAGCAGTGTCCAGTGGAAATGAACTACAAGTACCTTTGTGGATCTATGCCTCTAGCTGAGAAGGTCCTGATTGCTCGAGTAATTATAGCTGATGCAATCTGTTGCACATGTCGAGATGGGTAACCAGCAAAACAAGCAATTTCAACAGTGAAATGCATGTCAAGTATTAACTGCAAAAACAAATTCAAGTAGCTTAGAATACAGAGTAGATGGAGAGCAGTTAACAAGGAGATCAAATCAACCCAGTTGATGGACCAAGTCACTGACTCATTGGTTAAATTTCAATTAATCAACTTTTCAATTTCCAGACTTCACAATACTCAATCAATCCTGCACTCTTAACTTGTGATATAGAAGGAAGAGTATTCCTTATAGAAGTTATTTAACAAAGGACAAACTTGGGTCGAGGAGAAAGAAGAAAGATCATCCTTTGCTGAAAATAATTTTCTAATAACTGGGAAAGAGCAGGTAGCATTATGACCAACACAAAACAATTTTAATTCCTCAAACAAAGCAAAAAACTGCATCCGAAAACACATAGGAAAAAGACAGAAACACCACACCCCAGAATCCTCTCGGAGGGAATAACAAAATACCTGCTGCAAGCCAAGTGGTTTGAGTGGAACTGATTCATCCTCAAATACATCCCAGAATTCCTGCTCCTCAGACATCCACATCACAACAGTCTCTGTTAGCCTAGCAAGCAAATTTTTCTGTATTTTCTCTCTCCCAAGCAACACGTCTCCAGCCACAATTGCTAATTGCTGAAGCTTTGCAAATAAGGCCTGCAGTAAAACATATCTTCAGTACCAAATATACACTGGTGCAACAATGCATATTAAGCCCAGTTTCTACTTGGTGGCTCGAGTGAGAGAAGGGGGTCAGATTCAAGATCCTTGGCCTGGTTATGGATTTCTCGAGAGCATGTTTTAAGTTGAATTGCATGTAAAATAGAGTCAGATCAAAGCATTCACACAATTTGATACTACTCAAGAAGTTAAAAACAATAGATCACAAAGCACTAAAAAAACTCGCATAGAGTGCTAAAGAGTATGGAGATTTGATTTTTCTTCAAGATACAAATATTAGGTGTGCTTATTAAATGAGAAATTCAACACAAGATCTGAGATCTAATGAGTATATCATTATCGATTCAATCCAATATCTTGGAATGGGAATAAGTTCAGCAGTGGAAATGACAGGTTGATATTCAATATTTAAAAGCTACCTTTAGAAAAGAAATGGAAACAGTTCAAAGGAAAAGAAATGGTGATAGTGTAAAAGTCAGTAATCACAATGACACAGGAATCGGATTCGTGAAGAGGCCTAAAGTTACAAGGATCACGAGAAATTAAGATAACCCAGGAGAAGAAGGATGACCTGAAATGGCAATGATGGAAGAGGATCAGAGCCCCAGTACAAATCCTCCCCTTCCCCACTTAAATAAATTAGTGCGTTTAATCGTGTTTTTCCTTCTCTAGAATAGATGAAGCTCAAAACATATTGCCGACAGAAGTGATCTCTAAGCTTGTCAAAAGAATGCTGAAGGTTGCGCTTCCATTCCTTCAGTTCTGCAGTAATGCTTGCATTAGGCACAGTACTTTCACTTTCCAAATCCTTGCTTTCATTTTTTTGACTCCAAACTTTCATTACAGCAAGTGGTAGAAGTTCATCCAGAATAGTAAATGCTAATCCCAAAAGTGCAAGCTGCTCTGAATCAGTTTCAGCTCTGAATTGTATAACCTCCTTCAGCTCTGTGAGATTGTCATCATCAGAGGGGCCTGGTAGGGACTTAAATAGCATATCCATGTATTTATCAAACAACTGTGAAATTCTTGTCAATACATTTGCTCCAAAATGCAAGACAGCCATGGGCGTAAGCTGTGCCAATATATCCTGTAAAAATTATTTGAACCAAACAATTCTATGAAATGATCATTGGATCATCATAAAGTAGTAGACTAGCAGATCAATAAGAAAACTTCAAACTGGAAACATTGTGAACCAAGAGTGTGTCATACATACATTCTCAAAGCATATTTATGTGTGCAGACATATTCACAAGCACTACAACACAAGGTCTATAGATGCTTGTATGAACCTTGAAGTAGCTGTGTAAAATCAAGTGGCCAAGAATAATCAAATTAGTTATGCAGTGCAATTGCTGAGTCAAAAGTGATTGTTTCCTTGCAAGGCATTATAAATGAACACATTGCTTATGCTGATTTGAGTATAAAGGTATGGGATTTTTCATTCACAATAACAGAAGAGAACCAACTTACCTCAACGATGTCCATGAATTTCATTCCACTATCAACAAGCACACTGTCTGATGAAGTTGCAAATGCAGATAATGGAGACATAGAATGAGGTGACAAAAGTGAGCTCTCATCCATTTCTGCCACATCCAGAACTTCCCTTCTGGCCCGTCTAAAATTAAACTCTAACACTTCTTCAATGTATGGTCGTAATAGGACCAAAAGCAACTTCGAAAGTTTCAGACCTTGTGATTCCAGCATTGAGCAGTATGTAAGACTAGCCTGAACACAATTGCGAGCTGCACCCAAAGCAAAAACTGTCTCAGAAGAGGGTGCATTATTCTTAACCAACCGTACAAAGTATTCGATTTCCCACTCTGCCCACTGAACGAGATTATTCTTAACCAACCGTACAAAGTATTCAATTTCCCGCTCTGCCCACTGAACGAGCCTATTGGTATATACAGGATTATCACCAAATATTGAACCAGATTCTTTTGTTGTCGCCGAAATTATTGAAAACATAAGCCTGGATAGTGTAGCAGGAAATGTTTTGGGATACACAGAACATGAAGGAAGGAAAACCTCAATACTCTTTTGGAGGCGGGACCCATATGATTTTAGCAGTAGTTGATGCGCCAAAGGACCTTTCCCAAGCTTGATCAATGCAGATAAAGCTTTCTTTAGTTCCAGAATGCCAACCAAAGGCTGTTCAGTAATCCCAATCAGTTGATCCTCAAGCATTGACTTTCTCTTCAAAAACACTGATCTATATGATGCTTCCATGGATGAGGTATCTCCAGGACCTTTCAGCTCCGGACAGTATTTCTCTTCAGCTTCCAAAGCTTCGATTGCTTCTTCCACTTTATGTTCAGCCAAGAGAACATCAATGTTCTCCAAGAATATTTCTTTCCGAATATCTGTGTCACTTGGCAAGGAACTTTGAAGTTCATCAACTTGAAGGTCTTGCTGAGAATCACCAATGTCACCATTAGCAGAGTTGTACTCTTCCAGTTCACGGCAAACCCCAGTCATCAAATCCTGCACAAGAATCCCTTGTGCAGAAATATGCTTTCTCAATTCCACCAACTCATGCTCCATTTCCACTACTTCTTCAGACATTCTAAAAATATCATAAAACATTTAGGAAACGAGATTAGGGATTTAAGGTAATTTACAGCAGGAAACTATGAAGCAGAACTAAATTGACAATAAGCAAGGCATGCAAGGAAATGTTCAGAAGAATATCCAGACATTATTGATTATGATTGTTAAAAGGAGATATTATCCATTGTAAACACTCCCATGTATTGCTAAAGATTTGGATAGGCTTGTGCTTGTAAAGATAGTCCATGCAGAAGGTCACCTATCCAGGCT